ACGGGCAGAGGGTACATATGATCCTCACTGATGCCTGAATTGGGGGTGGGGAAAAAGCAGTGGCCAAGGGTGGGAATCAAAGGAAGAGATAAATCTTAATCTCATCTAATATATCAAAATATTATCAGGCTATATTTGGTTGCTCTTTTGTTACTAGGTGTGAAATATGAACTGTAAAATAAAATAAAACGGGCCTGAAGCATGAGGGTTTGCCATTCTTAGCCATGGTCCTACTCAGCCCTGAGATGAAAGAGAGGAAAAAATTCAATAAGAGATCTCATAAAAGGGATTTATAATGTCAGGAGTGAGGGGGAGAATTCCAAGGGTTTGTGAACTCTGCGAGGACACAGCACCTTAAGTCCCAGAGAAGAGATGACAGGAGGGGCATTGGAGGAGAGAAGGCATATGATGGACTTGGCCAGCGAATAGTGCAGGTCACCCAGCATGTCCACTCTTCTGCTCTTAAGATTGGCAACGCACCTGCAGTAACAGGACAGACATGAAATTCATACGTCTCAGGGGCTACATGCTATCTTCATGCTGTTTCCCAATTCTACTAAGACTTTTCAACCACAGTTGTGTCCACAGTCTCTTCCCACTCTCCTTTCTCTGTCCTGTTGTCTCCTCAACTTTTGAACCACAATTGTGTCCACAATCTCTTCCCACTCTCTTTCCCCTTTCCTGTGTCTCCAGGTCCCAGCTCTAACACATGGGAATCCTTACCTTCCTTCTGGCGTGTGACTCACAAGGGCCCTTGGTGTCTGGAGGCACCACCTGGGTGCAGGCCCTGGATAATGAAGACGGTGCCCGTGACGATGCCCACGAGGCCCACGGCCAGCCCCAGGGCACAGACCACTGTCTCCGTCAGCTCTGACATGGGGGCTGGAATCTCGGGCTCTGTGGGAGTGAGGTGATGGAGGTCAGAATGCCGAAGGTTGGCTCACAGCATGTGTGCAAGATGGGGTGGGAGGGATGGTGTTGGTTCTACAAAGACTTGGCTTCAGGTTGAGGGAGAACAATAAAGTCTACCATCAGAAATTCTTGAAATGTAGAGAAGGCTTTGGGCCACGAGATTTAGGAGCTAAAAGGCAGAGTGTCTGACTTGACAGAGAAAAGAAGGCACCAAAAGGCGTGGGGCTCATACCCACCCCAGTGCCTCAGGAGGGGCTGGTCCAGCCCCCAGTGCTCCACCTTGCAGTCATAGACATCGTCAGCAGAAGGGAGGAAGGTGAGGTAACTGATCTTGAGGAAGGAATGATCCCTCTTGGGCAGGAAGCTGGTTTCAGAAACACCCTGCGTGACTGAGTGCCCGTTGCTCAGCCACGAGATGTTGATCACAGGAGGGAAAATGTTGTCCACGGCACAGATGAGGGTGTTGGGCTGGCCCAGCTCCACGGGAGCCTTGGGAAACACAGTCACCTCAGGAACCTCTGCGGTGAGGAAACAGCACTGGGTTTAGAATCGTGGGCAGCTCTGCCCTGAGGGTCCCTGCGTCCTGGAGGGACCTCCCACCAACGTTTCCACATCGGAGAGAGGAGATGCTTTTGTTCCCTCTGCTCGTGAGCCGCTGTACACTGCCCGCCCGTCATCCCCACGCCCTTCTCTCTTTGGGCCCCTTGGTAGGGTAGGGCATCTATGGGACCTGTCCTTGAAGGAGTGGAGGATTGCAGTGTGGGTGCAAGAATCTGTATTTCATGGAAATATGTGATTTGTAAGAAGGGAGAGGATGCGGACTCAGCAAATACCATGAGAAGATCTGGGACTCTTTGGAAAGGAGAGCATTTTATAGAGTGAAGGGAATCTATCTGAGGCAAGAAGAGAGTGAGGCCTGGTATGAAGGGTAGATTCAGTAAAGAGACAGGATGGTGGACACACACCATTGATAACAGCGGTAGAGTTGGAGCATTTAATCAGGATGTCCAGGTTGTGTCTTGCAGTAGCCGCTTCACTCAGTCCACCCTGTGGGTCAAAACTTCCAAATTCACTTAACCCAGGCAGCCGCCAGACAGTCTCCCTCTTCTCCAGGTCCACGTGGAACGTCTCATCTCCATCAAATTCAAAAGTGTACTGGCCTGAGGGACCATAAGACTGGGAGAAGCATCCGCCATAGGCCCCAATGTGGTCAGCTGATGAGTGCGGTGGGAGCAGGGAGGTGCAAAACACAGGAGAGAAAGGATCTTGTTAAACAAACTGACAAGAAACGGACGTGAAAACGTTGTCTGTTGTACCTTTGGCACAGCCTGCAGACAGTCCCCAGTGCCTGCTCCCTTCCCTGGCTGTCCTGTTAGAATCCAGCTGCCTCTCCACTCCTGTGGTTGCTCCTGTCACAGGAACAGAATTCCACAGGCCTGTTTCTGCTGTTCTCTGCCCGCCTAGCTCAGCCCCCAGCACCTCGTGGGCTTAAGATAAATACTGAAATGGGCAGAACAAGGAATGAGTGAATGACCATGGCCTTAGCTTTCTTTACAGAGATTCAATTTACCTCCCTCTGTTCATAAGTTTTCTCTCTCAATTTCTTCATCAGTTAATAACACACTCATTGTGGGTCCTCTCCCCTCAGGGCTATCTCAGAACAGAACATGTGCTATACAAGGATTTCTTCCTCCTTTTATTTTTTTAACCAAGGAAAAGCACACCCGATATCATTTTAAAAGAATTCCCTCTATTTTAGGGAATAAGAAAGAGTAGGATAAGGGAAGTCACAACATCACAAAACACATAAAAGGTAAACAATGCTTCTAAGGTCTTTGCTATTTTGGTTTTTGTTAATCCTCACCTGAGGATATTTTTTCCATTGATTATTTTTTTTAAAGACAGATTCGGTGGCGGGGGGGAAGAGGGGAGAAAAAAGAGACAGAGAAAGAAACCTCTCAGATCAATTGGTTGCCTCTCACAAGGGCTCTGGAGATGAAACTGCAACCCAGGTACTTGCCCTTGACCAGGAATCAAACCTATGACCTTTCTGTGTTCAGGCTAATAATCTAACCACTGTGCCACCAGCCAGGCTAAGGTCTCTGCTTCTGTAACAGGGTGGTCCTTAGAGGAGAGCACCTGGTTTCCTCTGAAATGAGACTGGAAACTTCATTAGATTTTGGATTTTTGTCATTTCCCACCCTCTTCTTATCTTGAAGGACGTTACTAAACCTTTCCTTTTTCTGACTCACCACTTAGCTTGTTGAGGACTCAAGGAAAACTCTGGCCCTTTCCTCAAATGGACAGTGGACTTGGTGTGACACCAAAGCAGAAGGCACCCAACACAGCTGAACCCGCCCAGGGGAGCCTGACTGGATAACTTGTCTGAGCCTTTTACCGTTTCCTCTTCCCTCCCTTCCTATTTCCTGAGTTTAAACAAGGTTTCAGACATTGCCAGGAGCGAGGACTATAACATGGACCACACTCAGTCTCTGCCAGCAAGGAGCTTAATGAATAGGGGAGTCTGATGAATAAGGAGGCAATAGTTGTACTGTGCTGAGTCTTCCACAAATACCTCACCTGCCCATCAAACCAGACGTCACCCTTGGTCTTTACAAGAGTCTGTTTTCCTCCCTCAGATTATCTTCCAGGATTTCCTGGACACTCCAGTTCATTCTTGACGTTTCTGCTTAGTTACCATCTTCTTGTCTAAGTCCCCTCCTTAAGCATAGTTTTGACCACATTATGATCTCCAGCCCCTCCATGCAAATGTCCTGTTTGCAAGTTTATCTAGTCTTCTTCCCATCAAAGCCTCCTTGTCCTTGTAACGAATCCTCTTAACTCCATTATAAACATGAATATATGTGATTATTCTTTTCATCTGCACGTGTCCTGGCTGTACGCTGCTGCTGAGGGACCTCACTGCGCCAGCTGGAACTGCTCACTTTCAGTTTCAGCCTCGCTGGGCCCACTGTCCTGCCCAGCAGCTGCCCTGCACCGGGCATGGTATTGTCCTTTCGCTAATCTGAGCTCCCTCTAAGGGCAGAGGGCACATCTCTTCATCTGAGTCCCAGCACTGAGCTCCTGGTGCTCAAACTGTGTAGCAAATGTCAGCGCTATTCTCTAGGATGACAGAGATTTGGGGAAGACTGACAGACACGAAGGTAGCAGCATTCTGTGAAAGTTAGGCTCAGCGGTGACTGGGCTGCATTATGACTCATGAGCCCTAAGCACTGTTGTTAGGTGGACCTTTATTTTTCCATGTAAATATTAAAAAATCGTATTTTATGACCATGTTGCTACAAAGGCAAATATAATCCAGGCTAAATTAAAATAGTTTCTTCTATCCTAAAAGTTCATTTTTTCTTCTAATTTTAAAAGAAAGTAAAGTATTTTCATGTGGCCCTACAGGCATCATGGGCTCTTGGCCCTTTGCTCACTGTGGGGGGTACGTGGAGCTGGACCAGGGCACTCAGGAGTGACATTGAGAAAAGGGAACTTGGACATGCTCTGGAGAAGCAGGCGAAACTTTCCTACCAAACCAAAAAAGCCTGGGGACAGCCATGGTTAATAACATCGCTGAAGATCAGGGTAACCTCCAGTTCACTTCTCATTGAGCTACAGTGCTTTTCTACTTTGCTTTTACAAACCCACTCTTCATGCCAATAAAACAGCAGGAAAAAGAACCTAAAAAAAGGAGGGTAAAGGAATGACAAAGAGAGGGTGGAAAGGTGAGCAACAAAGGTGGAGGGGCCCAGGGAAACAGGCGATGATTGGATGCCCAATCATCCTCTTACAGAGCTTCCTTAGATGTGGTGAAGGACAGGCCATCTGGGCTGACAATGTGAGACTGATATAATTTAAATCACCAAATTTTCACCATAAATTTCTCAATTTTAAAATAAAAGTAAAGATATTCCCTACTTTGTTTAAGAATAATTATACAGCTATACCTGTAATAGTAGTAATTTTAAAATATCATTGACATTTATTGATCTTTGTTACTTGGGAAACATATCTAATACCTACTTTACTTGATTTTCTGTAAGGTGATGCAAAAGAGGTAACTGAGATTAAGTGAAAACCACATGATAAAATGACTTGTCTGAAGGCCCTCACTGGACTGTTTTCCCATTGCCCACCCATGCCAGTTCTCAGCTTGGAAATGTACGTGAATCTGAGACAAACCAAAGAACCCTTCTTTATATCTACATAGTACACATATTTCATGAAACTCTTTACCCCAAGGTAAACCACGGGAGAAATATTCATAAATCTTCAAAAGTTGTTCAGAAAAATTTGGGAGCAATGGTTCATGAATTGTTGTGAAAACATCTCTGAGGCAATCACGCATGAATGCCATAGATCCAATGTTAGAACCAGGATGATGGCCGTGGGGCAGTGTGCAACGGCTCAGGTAGCAGAGACTGGATGGGGACTCTGGTTTCCCACAGGAGGAAGGACCATAATTTTTGGATCTGCTTAATATTGAGGATGCCTTTGAGGAATCGCTACTGTTTCTATGCAAATCTCTATCTTTTTTACCTTCCAACTCTGTTTCCCCAGTCCAGTCCCCACGTGGCTCAGTGGAGCACTCACCCACAATGTCTTCACCTCCACAGCGACTCAGCATGGTGGTCAGGGCGAGGGCCCCCCAAATCAGGGATCTGTTTAGGGCCATTCTCTTCTCAAGGTGGTCTCAGCAGTTGCTGAGCAATGGTGAGGACCAAGCTGAGGAAGAAATCTAAAAACACCCAAACCAAACTCTGCAGGTCAGGTTCTGGCCAATCAGAACCGCCCCCTGTGATGACACCTCAGTTGCTGGCTAAAGAGTGTATACCAGGAGGCCTGGCAGGGACTGGGAAATTCTGGGTTCTGAGGTTCTGATGCAGCCTCCATTCTGACTGGATCTGAGGGAATTCTCCATGAAAGGAGGGAAGGTATGAAATCAGAATCTCTTCTCCTGTGTGTGCCTGCTGGTTCTCACAGACCTAAAGAACCAGAACATGGACATTGTCTGAGCCACAAAAATGGCCAAGCACACCTCTCTTCCGGGTAACATGAATGACTGCTGCTCCTTTTTATTTTTTCTAATTGATTGACGAGAGAGAGACAGAGAGAGAGAGAGAGAGAGAGAGAGAGAATAAGAGAAACATTGATTTGTTGTTCCGCGTATTTATGCATTAATTGGTTGCTTCTTGTATCTGACCTGAGATTGAACCCGCAACCTGGGCATATCCAGCTGAGGCTACCTGGCCAGAGCTGACTGCTGCTTCTCTACCAATTAGAGCTCTAGCTTCAGCATCATCTTCTTTCCTTCCAGGTAAAATGTATTAAGATGCCCAATTATAGAACTACCCACCCCAGCACCCACTTCCTAACAGAATCCAATTAAGGACAAAGTCTCTATTTCTCAAATCCTTCCCAAGATCACCTACAAGCCCAAACCCTGAGGTTAACCATCAGTTTTACGTGTCAGCTAGGTTATAGTCCCCAGATAGTCAATCAAACAGTGATATTTTATAGATGTGACTAAAGCCCACAAGCCATTGAGTGAGTGACAGAGGTCATGCTGGATAATGTGACTGAGTTGGATCCGTCCGCTAAAGAGTCCCAGGCACAGAGTGAGGCTTCCCTGAGGGAGGGAATTCCACTCCCGGCTGCAGCTTGGGCTGTGCTGAGAGTTCCAGCTGCCCCTCCTGACAGTGGTCTGTCCTGTGGATCTCGGACTTGCCCAGTTCCCCACAACTGTGTAAACTGGTCCTGCAATAATTCTCTGAATAGACGCTTCCTCCTGATTCTGCTTCTTTGGTTCCAACACCCTCCTACTGAGATGCCTCACATTTCCCCAAAGTGAGTGTCTCCCTCATTGTGATAACACAACAACAGCTTGTTCACCCACAGGTGTTCTCCCGGTGGCCTTTGGCTGGGGGCATTGACAGCACACAGTTAGGTTGTTGTGAGGATATACACATACTGCACTTGGAATGAATTCCTAGGACTCCTTAAATATACCTGCCATGCTCTAATACCTGTCCTATTTTATAAGGAGGGCCTTGAAGCAGAGAGGGGAGGTGCCCAGGCTCACACAGCTGGTAAGTGGCAGAGATAAAATGTCACGAGGCAAGCCATGAGGCCTTGGTGGGGCGGAGTCTCCTTCTGTGTGGATTCAGAATCCAGTGTCCTCAAAAAATTAGGATAGATATTTGAACTTGCAGATTGTCTTATCAGTTTTTTTGGGGGGTCTGCTGCTACGAATCAAGCACTTGTACTTGAGCCGGCTGCATTGCTCAGTGATTGAATAGCAACCTATGAACCAGGAGGCCACAGTTCGATTCCCAGTCAGGACACGTGCCGGGGTTGTGGGGCATGCAGGAGGAAGCCAATCAATGGTTCTCTCTCATCATTGATGTTTCTCTCTCTCCTTTCCCTTCCCCTCTGAAATCAATAAAAATACATTGAGAAGTAAAGAAAGCGCTTCCACTTGAGAGGTGCTCCATTTACCAGGTAGTACCTTCTTTCTCACAATAAATCACATGTTTCCATGTTTTGTTCTGGATTCAGACTTACCTGCCCTGTACCTTGAAGAAACTGCTCAAGATCTTGGCAAATGAATGAAACCTTTCTTCATGGTGCTCAAAATTTTCACCTATTAATATAACAGTTTTTTTTTTTTTAAATTCAACTAAAATTAGGAAGTTAGGGTGTTAAACATGCAGGTTCAAAATTGTGTCTTGAATGAGGAGTTGAAGGTCCAGCCTCTGATATCACATCCTGTGGAATGTGTGAAAGTCCAAGAACATACTGTCAGGAACTAAGAGATGGTGGAGGAGCTCTGTCCCCAACCCAACTTTGTCTCTCCTCCTGCTTCTCCAGGTGTCACACTAGAAACTGTTCCAGTTGCTTCTGTTTTCAGATCATAGTTTTAACAGAAAGTAAAATTATTAGTGAATTAGGAGAGAAACTAAGATGGCGGCAGAGATAAACACCGGGAAATTAACGCCGCACACAACAATTGATTAATACCTCAGAGAAACAATACGGACTTCATCCAGAACCACAGGAAGCCTGGCTGACTGTAAACTCTACAACTAGAAGGAAGGAAAGGCACACTGAGACCCAGAGAAGCTGCAGGAGAGAAGCGCAGAGGTATGGGGCTCGCGCGCGCGGGAAGGGGCTGGCACCCGAGGACGCGGCTGTCTTTTTGAATCCGGAGGGAGTCACAAGCTCCCAACGGCTCTGAACTCCGGTTCCGGGAAGTCTCTGGGGACCCAGGACTCATGCGGGGAGAAACTGGACTGTCTGGCAGCAGGCGAT